TACACATTTTTAACCCCAGCACGCCAGAGGCAGAGCCCGTCAATCTCAGTGAGTTGGAGGAAAGCCTGGATTACACAGAGACCCTATTGATTTACCACCCACCCACCCACCCACCCACACACACTTTGAAACAGCTAGATCATTGGTCAACCTGTTCACCTCGTCCTCTAATTCCAGCTAGCATTGCTCTTAAACCCGGGAAGTCACTCTAGGCTATGGGTATATGGCAGGCCAGCTAGTGCACTTTTCAGGTAAAGCACTCCACTGAAGAAGCTGAGAGCCCATTGTCTTCTGAGAGTGGTGCCAAGTCGCAGGTGTGGCATCAGAGCCTCGGGAAACCTGTGTGGGACACGGAACATGAGCCCAGACTTCTCTTTCCTCACTAGGGAGCTGACCCCAACATGGGAAAGGCTGCTGGGTGAGCTTCCTGTCAGTGCCCAGGCAGGCCACTTTAACATGCTTTTCAAAAAGGCTTCAGATGTGCTGAGGGAGTTCAGGTCTCCTCTAACTAGTTGATTCACAATGTCTTTGACTTTTTTTTTTCTGAGTCCCAAATAATCACTCAGCTTCAACATACTTGGTAACAGGAGAGGATTCAGCAGGCCTGCTGCTGCTTTTAACTATCCCTCAGCAGTGCTGTTGCTAAACCCACACTTAACAAGTGAAAGCCATGCTCTTAGAGCCACCTCACCTGAGTAGACAGTGCAGCCTGTCCTGGGGACCCACAGAAACTGCAAGGCCACAGTGGCCTGGCTTGCCTTAGAGGTCATGCTTTCTTACCTGTTACCTCAAAATGAATTTTTATCCTGACTACCAGAGCACACTGGATGGTCCTCTCCCTGTAGACAGACCCAGGGGTGGTCTGATGTCAGCATTTCCTTAAGCTTCCAGAGCAGGCCTTGGTGGAGCCTCATTCTGTTCCTTCCCATCATCTGTTAATTAGACTGTTAGTAGGGCAAAGTGTTCAACAGTAAAGCATGGCTGCAGAATGGTGAGTTCTCTTCTGCCCCGTTCTCTTTTGCCTTCTTTATACCAGGTGTTTTGTGGAACTTGAATAGTTAACAATGAAGTTGACTTTAAAGTCAGAGCAATCACTGACCCAGGCCATGTCAGTTACCAGGCATGTGAGCTCCGGTGCAGAGGTGGTCTGTCCTCTGGCTCAGACTGTGCTTTCACTGAAGATGAAACATCAGTTTGGATGCAAAACGTTCCCAGGCTCCACAGAAATGATTGGATCTGCCACAAACCTGTGTGTTTTAGTATTTGCAGGGTAGAAACAATGCATCTGAATGTAGCCCTTTGAGGACACTTAGGTTGAAACAGTTTGGACTTCATCAGCCTTATGGCACATTTATCTGTTGTTACAGAAAACATTTGGTACCATTTAAATCCGTGGACCCTTAGGCCTCTTGCTGTTGTCCAGAGCACACAGGCTTGGATCTTCTTTTTCCAGATTGTCCAGACTTCTAGAATTTTTTTTTTTTTTTTTTTTTTTTTTTTTTTTTTTTTTTGGTGGGGGGGTTGTTCCCGAGACAGGGTTTCTCTGTGTAGCTCTGGCTGTTGTGGAACTCTCTCTGTAGACTAGGCTGGCCCAGAACTCACAGAGATCCACCTGCCTATACCTCCCGAGTGCTGGGATTAAAAGTGTGTGTCACCACTGCCTGGCTTCTAAAAGTCTTAAAATGTCTGTTATAGAAGGTGATGTTAGGGGCCTCCTTGTGTTTATCACTGCCAGTAGATGCCAGTTCTAGGAGCTAAGTGCCTGAGTTAGATGCATAGGGAACTGTGAAACCAGGGAAAAACTGGGGCCTAACTGCCTTTGGGGGTACAGGTATAAGAGGTCACTTAGGATTTCAGTACTAATTACAATTAATTTTAATGCCTGACCAAAAAAAAAAAAAATGCTGTTTATAAAACATTTACTTGGTGTGTCACTTAACAGCGTACCCTATTAACACAAGCCAGTCTTCAGTACTTATGCTCATTGCTTTTTCTCACTGAGGGTTAACTTCAGCAATCTTATTTGGTTATAAACAAGCCTCTTACATAATGGTTGGCCTGACTTCCAGGAAAGCTAATGTTTTGCTGAAGCAAATGAAGTAATTTAATAAGTGCTTGAAAACCTTGCTCTGATTTATGTGGGAGGGCCGCTTCTGTTTTCTTACTGTAGTTCTGATGGTGTTTTTGATGGGTATCAAGAGAAAAGAAAAAGCTAACCAAACTTATTTTGAGCCTTCATCTATTGATTGCATGATTCACATAGCCTTATCCCTTCAAATGCAAGAGACTGTTGCTTTTAAAGTACATTTTATAAACAGAACGGATGTGTCCACCCTGGAACATTCGTTTCTAAGATTTTCCACATTTCTTGGATTGGGAAATGCACACACCCTACTGCCTCAGGGATGGTTGAGTCCTTGGAGGTTGTTCTACTGTATCTCTCAGCCAGTCTCTAAGAACATTTGTGAAGTTGGGGCACCTGTCTGATCAGGCATGGCAATTGGAAAAGAAACCATTTTCTTCAGAGAACAAACTCACCAAGGGTTGGCTCTGTATGTACTGGAACAGCTCACAAAATACTGCTCTTTAAGAGCCCCGACTTCCACTCTCTGAGAATTGAGAATTACTTATTAATGGGACTTGAGGCTGAGCATGTGACCTGAGAACCATCTTATCTGAGAAGCCCCTAGCTGTCCTGGAACTCACCATGTAGACAAGGCTGGCTTCAAACTCAGATCCTTTGCCTCCTGAGTGCCGGGATTGAAAGGTGTGCACCATTCCTGCCCAGCTGGCTTTAATGACCTGTCCATGCTTCCATACATCTAAAGGACTCACTCATAACCTGAACATAGCCTTGAAGCCAGGAATTTAAGAATGCTGGGCACTGTGTAGTCAGGCCTTTATATACACCTGTGTGACTCTGGGGTAATTTTTTGCTACCTGATGTTAAGGAAGGGTTTTATGCAAAGGAAATTTTTAAAGCTGAGTCCTCAATGATAAAGACTGTCCAGAGGATAAGAGGTGATGTGTAGATGGTAAGGAGAGTGCATCTCTTTAATTGTTGAGTATGTGGGATGGCCAAAACCAAACAGGCCCTATGCCAACTCCTATCTTGTGAGAGACATCCTGTTTCAGAGTGAAAAACTATCTTGATCTCTTCCCTTGACTGGGCAATGGACTCAGCCAGGAGTCGGTGAACTACAAATGAGTGATTTGCAGGTCTTTTTTAGGCTTCATCAAACTGCCAAGAAGCCTGAGACCATAAAGGGCTGAGCAGTGGTTTGTCACACAGCTGGGTTGAGTGTCATCCTCTTGCAAACAAGGGATAGTTGGTGATGTTGAAGAGCCAGTAAGTACCAGGATGACCAACTGTGCAGGCAGCTGTGTGAACAAAACATAGCGAAACTGAAACAAAGTTGCTGGGAACCAAATTCGGAAATAGGTGGGGTGATGAGTACATGGTGACTGACTCCATATAGGCAGGAATGAGAGTTTCAGAACTGTTCCCCTGGTTGCAAGAAGGAAAGACCAACAGAACAGTCCCAAGCATTTGGTAGATGTCCAGAAGGCAAGAGAACCAGGGACAGCCCCCAACAGGTGAAGAGGCAAGAGCACACATGACCAGCGACTATTTCCAGTGTTTGGGGACAAACGACAAAAATGTGAATAGTACAGTGGTAATTTATTCCTCTTTACAAAGAAGTACAACCCATTCTGTTAGCTTTACTGGCTGGAGATACCCAAATTTTCCCATGGAGACCAGTCGTAACCCTTGTGGCCACCCTACAGCTCTGCGGCCCTAGGGGTGAAGGAACTAGTCTGTTGGCACCATATCCTGTCCCCAGTGCAACTCAGAAGAATGTCACCAAAGTAACCATATGGTATCACACACCAGTGCTCAAGTGCAGACTCCTTGTCACCTATCTGCCAAAAACTAGGAGCCCTACAGTGCTGTAGTTGTGGGTAACAGACTAAATTGGCTATAGCTGAACCACCCAACTGGCCTAACTACTGTAACCCCAGTGCATGTTTGAAGTACTGGTCTGTGGCTCTGGGCAGAGCAATTCCAGAAATGGACAGATACTTGCTATTTTGATCATTTTTCTTTCCATTTCAGGGGAGCCCTGGAAGCTTATGTTCAATCAGTGAGAAGCAGAGAAGGCAAAGAATTTGCACCAGTGTATCCCATTATGGTCCAGCTGCTTCAGAAGGCTATGTCTACTCTTCAGTGATGTGCAGACTCTACCACAAACCCATCTAAAGGTGGCAACTAACAACTGAAAACCATAGTGATTCTCTATTTCCTACTGATCTAGTACTTCTACTTTACATGTCAAAATAGACCAATCATCACCACAAACTTTCAGTTGCACACATCTGATTTTTTTCATAAAGATACCATTTCCCTTTTTCAGATTTTTCAACAAGGCAAAATTATTAATTAGGTGGTGTGTGTGTGCTATTATGCAGTTGATTCTCTGTATTTTACACTGCTTTTAAAGGGACAAGATCAACTCATACTGCATTCCCCCAACCAATGTAGTTATTTCCAAACCTCACTCTAGAGTCCCACCACTGGCGAGTTCCCGAGAGCACACCTGACAGAGGACTCTTATCCTGAATATGACGCTGATGTGCAGTCAGGGCCAGTGATGGGCTGATACAGATGCTCAGTGTTCTTCTCATGTGGCTACATCTCTAAATGGAGCCAGGGTTTATCTTTGAAACAAGTTAAAAAATAAAAATTTCTAACAAAGGTTCTCTATAAATATAACTCCTTATTTTCTATTGTCTTTAAAGAATGTTAATAATGGAGTAAGTAATTTTTAAAATCCCACCAGAAACCTAATTATAACACCAGAATTCAGTTTTATCAAGAATGTTTTTCCATCTGCTGGTCAAATGATTCTGAGAGGTTATACATAAATTCAGTCAGCCAATCAGAAATCAGAGACTTTTTTTTCATTTTATTTCAAATAATATACAAGAATATAGTGTGCAAAATTGAGGGGCAACAAGTAGAAGTGTGATGAACTGAAATCAATTGTACAGCTGTGATTCCTAACCAAAAATACCACTTGGTAAGTAACATGAGAAGCCATGATTGTAGCGCAGAGCAGAGCAAAAGCAGCTGTACTGCCGAAGTGCTTGCTCTGCTTTAGAAGCTGAAGGGAGTAAAGTGCAAAGTCTGCCCCCACCATAGACACGGTGACAAGAGATATGTAACATATGTGGCTGAGGAGATAGAGGACACATTAAAATACAACGGTGTCAACTGTTAATAGCACCATTACAGTGACTAGCCCAATGCTATTAACTAACTGCACGTTGGCCAGTTTGGCCCCCACTGGAAATCATGGAGGAGTGCTGCCCCCTGGTGCATCAACTCAGCACATGTCTGTGGTATCTGAAGCAGGTGGCTCTTTTAACTAGGACAATGACACCACCTACCTGCCATGTTATGTTGTCTCTTGGCACTGGCCAGACTAAAAGCGACTGTGTTTGGCACAGATGCTGGGCCATGTGGTGGCTACTCAAGAAAAGGCCAGCTTCTACTTCCTTCCTGATATCATGGGTACAATACAGATTAATAAGCAGTAAGGAGCTGATATAAAGAGCAGTTACATATGTTTTAATTCCCCTTCTTACAATTTAAAAGAAAACACGTATACACGTCTTTCTACTGTACTTTAGCACCACAGGGTATCAATTTTCAAGCCTATATTACCTGATAGACATATATGAAGTTTGGAAGGAAAATAAGGCAATTTGGTTTACAATGTTGATAGTTGTAGCTTACTTAATGCTCTAATGGAGAAAGCAAATCCTCACTCATTAAATCACTTCAGGACTCAATACTATCAGTATCTTATGTTCACGCAAATTCAGGACAAATGGTGAGACCAAGGTCTTCCAAGCTTTTCCATCCAGAGTCAGTACTTATGTAGATACAGACTTACAAACACAAGCATCAGGTTCAATGTTGTTGAGAGCCCTGTGGAAATAAATAGTGAATGCTTACAAAACAATGCATGGTAACCCTGCAGGGTAAACTCAGGTGTTCATATATTTACTGTGGAGATTCTCAGTTTCCTCATGGCTCAAATATCTGGAAAATTTATACAAGTGTGAATGCAGCATGCACAGAAAGTCAAACAGGTAATGTTGCATATGAAGTTCTAAACAAGAGACTTTTTGGGAAATGGGATGTGGCTCAGTTGGCAGGGACCTTGCCCACCAAGCACAAAGCCCTGGGCTCAAACCCTAGCACTACATAAACCTGTGCATCCAAACAGAAGGCAGCACAACCAACAGGTGAGCTTGTCCTGTGACTTTAGCATGCATGGCTGCACTCGGACACACACACAAAACACTTGTACATTATAGTTCAACTTTCTGCAGCTGACTGCTACTTTAAGTCACTGAGCCACTTGACCTACAAATTATAAAGGACTAGATTAGAGCACTATTTGTATCATCTCATCATTAAAACATGAGCTCACTCTACTATAGCATGTGCATTTTCTGGTAAATAACCTAAAACTGAGCATAAAGGGTGCTAGTGAACAATTATGGTCTAGTCTATCAACCAAGACAGCATTGGGAAACTAACTTCCCACCATTCTTATTTCTTCAGACTCTTCATCTAGCAGTTTTTGCCAGTGGCAAAATACTACTGAGTCTGAGGCAAGACACCAAGAACTACAGAAATTTTCTACTGTAATGTTAATGATCAAGTTGGCTGTACTTAAACTTGCTCTGTAGACCAGGTTGGCGTCTAACTCAGAGACACACCTGCCTCTGCCTCCTAAGTGCTGGATCAAAGGCGTGCGCCACCACTGCCCAGCCTAGTGCCCACCTTAAAAGCACTATGTTCCACAGCTATCTGCTGCCTCAGCACTTAAGGCATTACTCTAAGTGTGAGATCTCTACTTGTCCTGAGTGGTTCTTGATGATTTTTAAAAAAGGGCAGCATATGCTGGTCTGTGCTGCAAGCATGACTAGGTCTGAAGCATGACAATGATGAGACATCTGAAACGCTCTGGCATGCCAGCACCCGGGGTGCACGGCGCCATGTTAGCGCAGGCCCTGTTAACACATACCGAGTTGGTTCTTTTCCTTTTCCAGCAGTCAGGGTTTAAACGCTTTTGTTCTTCAGCCAAAGCTTTTGCTTCCAATGTGTACATCCTCCTTTCCTCGTTCTTCATCTTTTTCCACCTGTCACCAAGGATGACACTGATGGCTCTGCAGTAAGTATGAACACAGTGTCAGTCAGCTTCCATGCTAGCGCACCAACTGCTGCTTCAGACAGAAACGGAAAACACAGCAGGGCCACCAGTCATCTCAGCAAAACCCTCTCACAGGGCCCATTTATCAGCACCTTGGCTGGATAGTGCCAGTATCCATACTTGTAAAGTTCACCACTGGCAGCATAAGGCAGTCAACAGCAGTTATGATAAAAGCTTTCTCCCATGAAAGCCTTAGTTTATATCTAATGATAAAAAAGTACACTTTCAAGTCAGATTTGTACTTAACGTGAGAGACCCTGGATTAAATTCAAAAGGGTAAGAGGGAGGCAAGCTGACATTTTCCTGTTTTTCCTAGTCATTCTGATACTAAAGCTATTAAAGTAATCTCATCCAGAACATAGAGATATAAGTCACTTCCTTCCAAGAATAACCTTTAGCCATTCAGGGTACTCACGCAAGAGTCTCGATGTTGTAGAATATTATTTTCAGGTGTGTGACTTTTGTATATGCTGCATTTGTTTTACGTTTGAAGCTGTGTTACTGTGTCTGTCTAAAACACCTGATGGACTAATAAAGATCTAAATGGTCAAAAGCATGGCAGAAGAAAGGATAGGTGGGGTTGCCAGGCAGAGAGAATAAATAGAAGGAAAAATCTGGTAGAAAAGTAGCCAGAGGAGGACTCCAGGGGCCAGCCACCCAGCTACACAGCAAGCCACAGAGTAAGAAACAAAGTAACCAAAAGAAAAAACTCAGAGGAAAAAGGTAGACGGGATAATTTAGATTAAGAAAAGCTGGCAAGAAACAAGCTAACGCTGGGCATTCATAAGAATAAGCCTCTCTGTATGATTTATTTGGGAGCTGGTAACCACAGTGTATAAACGTGATGTCTATACTGACTGATAAAGATGTTACACTGATGCTTCAGAAGGACAGTACTATAGGAGCCCCACTACTAAATACATTGTAAATCTATTTGTCTTCTTAAATCCAGTATGTGAAAGTGACTGAATGTGCCACATTTTATTTAAAACCAACTTACATGAAATAGGCACAGACCCGTCTCAGTTTCCCAAAGTTAGAATGTTTTGGGGTGTTAGTTTCCTCTTAAGTTAAAACATGATGGGTAGTGTGATGTACACAGTGCTGAACACTAGAATCTATACTCCCCCCTTTCACAATTTTTCAGCCAGACTAATGTTTATGCCATCTGGCTAAGTATATCTCTAACCTATTTATTTTAGGCTACATCCTGCCCCTAAATAAGAACTTCTGTATTCATGGAATAAAGATCAACCTCTAGAGAGGAAAAAGAAATTCCAAAGTATTCTTTTTCAGACATCCTTTCTTGTTAGATCAATCACATGGCACCAATACTGAAATGCAAAGTCAGACTTATGAGCTATATGGAAGAAATCTTTGATGAAAGATATCCTAAAATAGGAAAACAGGTGACAATGAGACACCCACGGAGGCAAGTCCTTCTCCCCCGAAGGCCTCCTGGTACTAGACAGTTAGAAGGGCTGGTCAATACAGTACCAGGACACAGAGCTGACTCTAACAAGCAAGCAGCAGATAGCTGCAAAAGGAGCAACACAACCCGCACCTGTCACGAAGTCTCCCAGATGCCATACAGAACAGGGGGAGAGAAGTGGGCTAAGTCATTCTTAAAATGCTTTTCAATTTTATTAGTATGTTTTCTGTTAAACTATTACATCCTTCTGACTAAAGACTATTTCCAATATGGATTTTTAAAAAAATTACAGTGTCTCACTACTTAGTCCTGGCTGCCCAAAATTCCAGTTCTAAAGAAATAACCAAATACTGGGGCAAGGCCATTTTGTACAAACACATCAACTTAGATGCAGTTGGGATGCAAAGCTTCTTTCTAAAATGCAGGCAGTATTTAGAATTAAGTGCATTAAGACATTACAATCAGGATTAAAGTTCTAGTCTTTTGATTTATGATCCCAAAGACAAAGGAATAGTGTGGTACATTTGCACAATGGAGCACTAGTAAGTGAAACAAACAAACAAATAAAAAACAATGAAATCTTGAAATTCGAAGGCAAATGGATGGAACTACAAGAAACCATCCTGAGTGAGGTAACCCAGACACAGAAAGACAAACATGGTACAAATGTGTATTCACTCATATACGGATATTAGACATAGGGCAAAGGATTACCAGCCTACAACCCACACCTCCAGAGAGAAGCTAGGAAACAAGGAGGACCCTAAGAGAGACATAATTGTCCCCTGAAGAAAGGGAAAAGGACAAGATCTCCTGAGCAAATTGGGAGAATGGGGTGAGTGGGGAGGGAGGGAGGAGAAAGAGGAGGGAGAACGGGGAGGAAACAAGAGGGATCAGGAAGACTAAGTTGGGAGAATAATGGAGAAGGAGAGCAAGAAAAAAGATACCTTAATAGAGGGAGCCATTATAGGTCTAAAGAAATCTGGCACTAGAGAAATGTCCAGGGATCCGCAATCCTTGGCCCCAGCTAAGAATTTAAGCAATACTG